CTGCAAAGTATACAACCTTTTTTAAAAGTGCTACATAACACTACATCACTCTGCAAAGTATACAACCTTTTTTAAAAGTGCTACATAACACTACAGCACTCTGCAAAGTATACAACCTTTTTTTAAAGTGCTACAAAACACTACAGCACTCTGCAAAGTATACAACCTTTTTTTAAAGTGCTACAAAACACTACATCACTCTGCAAAGTATACAACCTTTTTTAAAAGTGCTATGTAACACTACAGCACTCTGCAAAGTATACAACCTTTTTTAAAAGTGCTACATAACACTACAGCACTCTGCAAAGTATACAACCTTTTTTTAAAGTGATACAAAATAATACAGAACTCTACAAAGTATCACAACCTTTTTTAAAACGCTACAAAACACTACAGAATTCTGCAAAGTATTTTAGTAAATAGGTAAGAACAGAGATTATTAAGTGCCAAAGTGGTCTCTCTGAGGTTTGCTATAGCCCCAATACAGTCACACAATTATTCAATATATGTTGCATTAAAAATCACAACATCTCTCCAATACCATACGCCAACATACTTTGTGCACAAGCATAGTCAACCCAAGACTCTCTGAGGTTTGCTATAGCCCCAATACGCAGTCAGGTCACTATTCAATGTTTCATTATAAATCACAACATCTCTCCAACACCATCCATTTATCTCCTTAATGTAATTTTGTGGTACCAAGGGGATGGTTTGTCCAAGGCCATCCCGCATGCTGTTCTACCCATGTTCGCCTTTCCCTATACACAGTCAGTTTAAATGATATTGACCCAATATATTACACCACAACCACGGTGAAACGCAAAACTGGCTCGGACCGCTGCGAACTGCTTTGGACAATCAATCCTTATCATATACATTATTACTTAAGGTTACAGGACACCCTTTTTGGCGTTTTGTGGAAAATCACTACTGCGCGCTCAAAATCAGTCCGATTTTCATTAAATTTTCACCAAATGTTAGCCAGTGCATGCAAAATATGATAAAGTTGTAAAATTGACAAACAATAAAATAATGTAAGAATTATTCATTTATGCTTTTGAGTTATGTTCCTGCTGGTTTCAAGATATATTTATGAATATATCATTTTTATACAGTCAAATAGTTGTTCTAAAAAATCGTGTTCGGAAATTTTTGTTTATTTCGTCATTCTGCTTATATGGCTATTTCTTTGACAACAGAATCGTTTGTGTGAATTGCTTCATTATTAAAATATCCAAAATTAGAACAAAGCCAAACACAATTTTGAAACTGACGTCTTTAGCTATGTCCTGTGGCTGTGAAAATTTGAGAAAAATTTGTTTAAACCCGCAGGAGCACAACTCGTTTAAAAATCAGTAATTGCCGTAAAATTCTTCGGGAGAAAATTGAATTTGAATATTACATTTTCAATGTTTTTCTTATTGCAAGCGAAATGTATTTATTAAATAACTCTGCAAAAGTTTTGAACATTTTTCGTCCAAACTTGGTCAGATAGTAGAACTAGTCTATTGCTTTCATGGAAACCAATAAAAAAATTTTAGGCAAAATTAACCCTCAAAGGTGTTCTGTAACCTTAACAGTATTAATCCATATAGTATATAATATATCTTAATGAAACAACATGACCTTAAAAATCCAAAAACAATTATTCTACATTCAGGTACAAATGATATTGAAAAACGTTCAGTTGAAAGCATTTGTAAAGACACTCATTCACTTCTCTCCTTCATCAAATCGAAACACCCACATACCCGGATAATTCTCTCAAGCCTACTACGTCGTAACGACTATCTTCTTGAAAAAGCACAAAAACTTAACGAACAGCTAGTCAAAATCTCCTCAGAATTCACCAACACTAACCTTGTGAAACATAATAAACTTTTCAGGTGTACTGCCATCCTTTACGACAAGAAACACCTCAACAGCAAACGCGTGAAGATATTCGCAAAAAACTTGAAAGGTGCTTATTTTGGTACAACAAAGAAATACCAACCCACCAGCAGATCATCCCACCAACAACCCTCAACAATGTATCATCCAGCCAAGAAAACAAGCTTCCCTCCCTTTCATCAACCATATTCTATCACCCCAACACTTCCACACTTCCAACATCCTTCGTCCCATCCAGCAGTCAGAACAAATGGCAATGCAAACCAATGGAATAGTTTAGTCAATTATAACATTCCAGAAAAGTTGACCGAGCTGGTAATCGTCCTTCAAAGGTTCCTTCAATAAAGTGAAATGGTCTGTGAGTATCCAAAACTGACTAATTCAATTATATTTTAACTTTCTATTAATATTATTTAGTATAATGTACTCACATGTAGGGTAATATAAGCCCATATGTGTGCGCATACCTAAAGCTTTCCTCTTCCTTATTACTCTAAAAATCAATTTATCCCAGATCAGTCAATATTTTCGAAATTTATTTCTACAATATTAAATTGAGTATTAATGCATTCTAGGCTCTCTATTAGTGCCTGGAATATACATGGTTTAAAACATAAAACGCTTGGTGACAAACTAAGCAACTTGGATTTTATAGAAAATGTTAAAGACCTTGATTTAATATTTCTGACTGAAACATGGTCTAACGAGATTAACAGCATTCCTGGTTTCGTGACATTATCCACCATCACGGCAACCCGGAAATCAAATTTGGCTTGTTGCTTGTCTATTCAAAAAGGAATTTGAAAATGCTATCTTTATTGAAAAACAAACAAAAAATTTCCTATGGTGTCGAATAGACAATACAATCTTAAACTCCACAAAAGATTTATTTATTTATGGAGTCCACATTCCTCCAGAAAGATCATCCTACTTTGATGAGGATATATTTCATAACCTAGAAAATGATGTGGTATATTTTTCCAAAAAAGGAAACGTTATGCTGCTAGGGGACTTTAATGCTCGTACCAGCAAACTCGAAGATTTTGTTTCAAAGGAAGGAAGCACTTTCATTAATGACATTACTGAAACCTCCTTTGAACCAAAAACTAGAGACAATTTTGATAGCTGTGTTAATAACCACGGTAAAAGTTTAATTGAGATTTGCAAAAACTGTAATCTGAGAATTTTAAATGGTAGGACTCTTGGTGATTCATTTGGAAAACCCATGTTTCATAATAAAAATGGAACTAGTGTGGTCGACTACATAATTTGTGACCAAGAGCTAACTCAAACAATCGAAAACTTTGTTGTTAAACCGCCAACATACTTATCTGACCATAGTCAAATAGTGACATGCATCAACAAAACGTCACCTCAAAATTCTACCAACCACACAACTCCATCATCTAATCATCTAAAGTATATAGACTCCCACTCCAATTCGTTTGGGACAATGACGCAATGAATTCGTTTACTGCATGTCTAAAATCACCTCAATCTCAACAAAAACTTGAGAAACTAATCAACCACCATATTCCTACTTCAAAAGATGGAGTAAACACATTAGCTTCCGAAATGGAAGAGATGATTCTACATGCTGCAAGGAAATCTTTAAAAATTAAAAAGACAAAATTTAGAAATAAAATTAACAATGTCTGTAACAAGAAATGGTTTGACAAAGAATGTCGACTAACAAGACATTCAGTTAGAAAACTGGCAAATCAAAAACACCGCAACCCGCTCAATGTTGAAATAAGAAACGAATACCATATTGCCCTTAAGATTTACAAAAACACGCTAAATCGTAAGAAAGAAATCTTTCATACAAAGAAATTAGAAGAACTAGAAACAATTTCTGAAAATGAACCAAACTCCTTCTGGAAATTACTAAAGAATATGAGTAATGAGCTTGAAGACCTTTCTACGTGTGAGCCTGATGTTACTACTAACAGCTGGCTCACTCATTTTGAATCCCTGCATGCGAAACATACGATGCTAGGCACTGAACAACAACACACACTAAATCAATTAGAAAAACTAGAAGAGGAGATTGCAAACAAATTTCTCGATGAAGCAATCTCAGAAAACGAAATCATTAATGCTGCAAGGAAATTAAAAAACAACAAATCCGCTTATTCTGATAAGATAAGAAATGAAATGCTTAAATCCAGTGCGAGAATACTGCTCAAAGGATACCAAAAACTCTTTAACCTAATTCTAGAAAGTGGAAAATTTCCAGACCAATGGTGCGAAGGACCGATCACGCCAATTTTTAAGTCTGGTGAAAAAAGTAACCCCAATAACTACAGAGGGATTTGCGTGACAAGCTGTCTGTGCAAGTTCCTCTGTATTGTTCTAAATGAACGATTAAGTAAATTTAGTCTTGAACAAAACTTTAATACATCCATCGCAAATTGGGTTTCAATCAGGTCATAGAACTGCTGACCATATTTTTACTTTGAAAACATTAATTGACAAACATATTAAACAGAACAAAAATGACAAAATCTATGCATGTTTCGTAGATTTCAAAAAAGCTTTTGACTCGGTTTGGCACGAAGGTTTATTTTTTAAATTACTAGAAAACAAAATTGATGGTCAATTTTATAATCTTATTAAAAGTCTTTACTCAAATTCAAAATGCGCTGTTAAACAAAGCAAAACAAGAACTGATTTTTTCAACTACTCCAAAGGTGTACGACAGGGATGTATACGAGTTATAGATATAAAAGAGTTAGCTACTTTGTTTGACAATACAAGCTCTGATCCATTTATACTTCCAAATGGAACAAAACTGAGCTGTCTTTTATATGCTGATGACCTAATCATACTATCTAGATCAAGGTTCGGTCTCGAGAAATGTCTGGATGACCTCCACAGCTGGAGTAATAAATGGCTTATGGAGGTGAATTTAAAGAAAACACAAGTTATGATATTTGAGAAAACAAATTCTAAAAAAGCGAAACCAATTTTTAATCTCGGAAAGAAAGATATAACTGTTGGAAAAAAATACTGTTATTTAGGCATTAAGATGAATAACAATGGTAATTTCACTTTAGCTCTTAAACAGTTGAGCGAAAAAGCCCTTCACGCACTATACAGTATGAGAAGACGACTCAATATACACCATCTTAACCCAAAATCTGCTATTAAAATTTTTGATCGAATTATAAGCCCCATCCTTCTTTACAACTCTGAAGTATGGCTGGGTGCATATGTAAAAACGATTTTAACAATTGGGACAAGTTACCTATTGAAAAAGTCCACCTTAGATTCTGCAAACTATATCTAGGTGTTGGTAAAAAAGCTAGCAATATCGCCTCAAGAGGTGAACTTGGAAAATTCCCTCTAATTATTAATATCTTCAAAAGACTTTTCAAGTACATCACTCATTTGAACTCTTTATCAGAAACAGCAATTGCCAAACAAGCTTTCCTAATCTCAAAAGATTTGTTTACTAAACAGAACACTTCTTATTATGGAAAAGCAATGGATATTTTGAAAGCATTTAACCTCAACACAGAAATCACTGACTTGGAATCAATCACAACTGAACTTATTCAACCTATTACCAAACGTCTTAAAGAAAATTACCTCACATTTTGGAAACACAAACTTGAAAATTCCTCGAAACTAACCTTTTATTCAACCATCAAGATAGATTACGAACTAGAAAAGTACTTATCTATAATAAAAGACTGAAACAAAAGGAAAACCTTAACACGATTCAGATTAAGTAACCATAGCCTTCAGATTGAAACTGGTAGATACCATAATATAGCCCGAGAAGAACGACTGTGTAACCTTTGTCACTCAGGAGAAGTCGAAAATGAATCTCACCTCCTCCTCACTTGAGAGGCTTACGGTGACACTCGAGTAAACTTTAAAAACAGTCTAAAAAATGATCTCACTACTAGTGAGACAAACTTAAACAAACCAACTTTATCAGTTGACATAATGAAGTCAACTGCCAGTAACACCATCCTGAAATTATCGAAATTTATTTTTTCGTGTTTTGAGGAAAGACTTAAACAACTAGAAGCCGGGAATGCTGGTAGTCATTAGTTAAACTTTCCATCCTGTAAATAGTATCTTCTTATAGTCTACTTCTTAAATATTTTCATATGTTCCCTTACGAAAAATTCCTATAGGAATTCCTTTAAGAATTTCTATAGGAATCTTTTAGGAATTCCTATAGGATATTGTATAGGATTTTCGGACTTTTCCAATAGGAATTCTTACAGGAATTTTGATAGGATTTCCTAAAGGAATTCCTATAGAATCCAAAAAGAATTCTTATAGAATCCTAAAGAATTCCTATAGGAATTCCTTTAGGATACTATAGGAATTCCTTTAGTATTCTATAGGAAATCCTTTAGTATTCTATAGGAAATCCTTTAGGATTCTATAGGAATTCGTTTAGGATTCCATAAAAAATCCTTTAGGATTCTATAGGAATTCCTTTAGGATTCTATAGGGATTCCTTTAGGTTTGTATAGGAATTCCTTTTTGATTCTAAAGGAATTTCTGTACACTCCTAAACGAATTCATATACAATCCTAAAGGAATTCCTATACTCTATAGGATTATTATAAGGAATTCCTATTTGAATGTCCTGGCACTAAACTGAATGCAAAGATGAGCAAATTATTGACAGTGCGCATATATTATAAATATTGACTTTATTTACAAATTAAAATATCAGTTTGTAAAGAACACAGTTTTTGTTTTTTGGGGCAACAAAAATAAACTATAGTTTTTTAAGCCAAAACCTATAGTTTTAAAAAGCTATAGTATTTTGGAACAAAAACATAGTTATGAAAACTATAGTTTTGACTAAAAACTATAGTTAAAAAAACTATACTAGTTTAGTTGAAAAACTATAGTTTCTGAAACAAATATTTTAGTATACCATGCATGCAGCACATCACCACCTAGCACATGAAATTTGTTCATCTGATAACATTATTTTATTAATTTAATAAATATAACAAGCTGTTTGCATAATAATAAACTATACAGCTAATTCAATTAAGGTTGTCTTTCCAAAACCTTAAGGCCCGTTTACACGGGGATTTTTGCTGCGATTTTCTTCTGATGGATGTGAAGAAGTGGATGAGTTATAAATGTACCAGGTTATGAAATTTCATAACAAGGTCATTAAGTAATCTACTCCTTCACATCCTCCGAAAGGAGAAAATTGCAGCAAAAATCACCCGTGTAAACAGGCCTTTAAAACTTAAACTCTGAGCATGCAAGGGATGATGGGTTGGTTTTCAAATATTTGGCCCGTAATTAAACTTAGAGAATTGCCTTTGCAGGAATTGTGTTTTCTACTGTGCATCTTCTAGGTCTCTTAGGCATTCTTGCAAAGCCAATTAACCCATTGAGTGGCGATGCACCCTACTTTAGTATTTTACTCTGTCTAACGCCAGACGATTTTACTCGTCAAGGGGAGAGCACTGGCACTTAATGGGTTAACTGGCCTATCTGCCCATGTGTCTAGTTAACCCATTGAGTGGCGATACACCCTGGTGCACCCTACTTCAGTATTTTAATTACTCTGTCTAACACCAGAGTATTTTACTCTGTCCAACGCCAGACAAT